TTATAGACCGTGATAGACAATTTGCTCCAGGAAAGTTAGAATGTGTTTTTGACTTTAACTGAGCATCACTATCCCACAATACTGGGAAATTTGGGAAATTATGTAATCACTTAATCACAATAAAAAAAGTTTTTAGGAAAGGATTTTATGAGTTTCTATCATTAAGATTTAAGAAAAATACGGGGGGGGGGAGGATGGGAAGGGATGGGAAGGGGAAACAAAGGAGGAGGCTACAATGCTTGATAAGAAATGTACTCATTATCTTGACCATGTAATTGTAACTCCTCTGTACAGTATTTTCACAATAAAAAAAAAAGATTTAAGAAAAATATATTAACCCTCTTTAAAAAAAAGAATATTGGGAAGCAGTCACACAGAAAAAGAAAACCTTAGGGAAAAAATAATACATTGGGTTTCAGAGTATGAATAAAAAAGCTTTACTTTATGTTGGTTTTGAAATAACTTTCTAGTGTTACATAAAAGTTGCAAAAAATAATATAGAACACTGACACTTATCCTTCACCTTACTTCCTCTTACATTCATGACTTTGGTACCAGTAGTAACAATTATCAAAATGAGGAAACAGCAAAAGAACATCTGCTTAGGAAGCGCAAGGCACCGAGTTTAAAACCTAAACACTGTTTTTAAAAAAATGAGGAAAGTAACTTTGGCATAACAGAATTCACTGAACTACAGACTTACCTCAAATTTCACCAGGTTTTTCACTAATGTCTCATTCCTTTTAATGGTTGCCCAACATTTCATAATATAGCTCTTTCATCTTATGAAACAGTTCTCTTACTGATAAACTATTTTTCTCATATTTACACAAGATGATGAACTAACCATTTTTATGTATGTGTCTTTGGTTACCTATGTAGTTATTTCTGTAAGGTAAAATTGCAGGTCTATGACCACATGTATTTTTTCCTTCCACCGTTGTTACCAAATTACCCTCCAAAATCTTGTATCTCAACTTAGACTCCTTCCAACACTGACTGGCATGTGTATTCCCACAAAAATTATGGATGGAAGTATTTTAATATCTTAGCAGTAGTTTGGTTTGATGATGATCATCTGCATGGGTGTATACACTGGGCTATTTTCCTTCCTACACATTTGCTTTTCTAGTACACACATATAGATACAATACTTGACAAAGTAAGTATGATTTTGAATGTATTATCTGTGAAAACTTTTAATTCAGTGCACTATGAAAGCATGGCCATGAAGCTACTTCAGAAAAAGCCCCAGGAGCTCAGGACACTGTTACTAGCTGCTAAGTACAGGGTGCAGTCTGCATTTCAAGGTCATGTGTTGAAAATCAAAAGCCGAGTTCTAGAAGTAAAAGTCTGTTCTCTCAAAAGAGGGAATCCAGTGTTCTTAAGCAAGCTGTATCATTCAGTGTCATTTCTTACGGAAAAATTAAGGGGAAAGGAGCAAAGGACCAGACTACTAATCCTAGGAAATCCTTTTGGAATAACAAAAGAATCTCTGGATTATTTCTTAATACCAAACACATAGTTCTAAATGCTAGACGTGGATACTAGAAATAAATAGAGTGCCAGTTTCAGCAGAGAAAGCCTTAAGTCAGATAATAAGTCTGTGTGAGGAAAAGAGTAAGTTGTCATTGAGGTTTAAGATCTGTGTTTTTGAAGGACAGGGAGTGTATGTCCATGGTGCTTTTTGCTTTTTGCCGATGTTCTGTCTGCACCTATGCACAAAAGCTTCAGTTACATGTTTCCAAAAATTAATATAGCATCTTTCTGGCCGTAGGGATGAACGGAGGGATAAAATGTTGGAAATGTATGCCCTCTGAAAGTATGCTAGATTTGTTGTCTCCTCACCAAAGTATTGTCGTAATTATTTTTTTATTTTTTATTTTTGGGTCCGGTCGTGGGGCCTGAACTCTGGGCCTGGGTGCTGTCCCTCAGCTCTTAACTTAAGGCTAGCGCTCTACCACTTGAGCCACAGCGCCACTTCTGGCTTTTTTCTTTCTTTTTGCTTATGTGGTGCTGAGGAATCGAACCCAGGGCCTCATGCATGCAAGACAAGCGCTCTACCACTGAGCCACCTTCCCAGCCCATGTCGTAATTATTAGTAGTAAGTACTAGTTGGTGTGATTCCAAAGGAAGTCTGATGTTCAGCTCCTTCCTATAGCTACTCAATTTTACATAGACAACTGAAGGACTTTACCTTTAGTGGTTAACCTATGTGTTTTTCCTCTCTTCCTAAACCTTACTTCTTACTTACTTTCTTCTAAAGAAGAGATAGTCTCACAATATTAAGAAAAATAGCAAAAACAAGGTAACTTTTGATTTTTAAGCAAGACTTTCAAGGGGTTTGAAGAACAGCTTGACATTTGAAATTTGGTCATAAGCAAAGGCTATTCTAACTAAAATATAGTGTTGGGTTTTCTTGTAAACAAATGAAATTAATTTGTATATATTTCTGTATATGAATGTTACTCATGTACATTTTGTAAAATGGTCATGCCAATCATTGACAGTGTTTGTTTTAACTACAACATGGGACGGTTCTTTTTTTTTTTCTTCTGATTATCTGGTATTCTCGTAAAGACAAAGTACTATGTACATTATCATTTAGAGAACTCAATATGAATGATTTCAGAGGCAGTCTTCCAAAAGCCCCAAATTGAAAAGTGTTAAATAGTCCTTATTTACTACTAGAGAATTGTTAATTTTTTATTACTTAACATTTATTTGAATGTATACTGTATGCCAGAGACCATGACATGCTTTTGACCTGCATCATTTCACTTGATTATCTTGGAAAAAGTGGATGAAGATAGTAAGGCTACTTTGCATAACAGGAAAAAAGCTTTGATCATATACATATATAAATACATATGTGATATATATATGTATATTATCCCCCCCCCCTTCAAGGCTATGTGGTAGCACCAGACTTGAACTTGAAAGCCTTGCTTTTAACCACTGTAGCTAACTTGAAGACCAAAATCTCTTTTTACTTGGTCTATTCAGTGTTACTATTCTATGCTAGTAAGTGCATTAAAAAGAGAAACACAGCACTATTAAGAGGAATAAAATTAAACTTCGCTAGCTACTTAGCTAGTGTCTGTCATTCTTTGGAAAGCCATTCCTACCTCAACCTCTTCCTTGACTATCCCTATTTGAGGATTGAACTTAGGGCAAAGTCTGGACACATAATTAGTAGTGTCTTAAAATTAACTGGCAGCATTTTTCTTTAATTGCTGCTGCATAAAGTCAGGGTGTGGTTTATACCTGATGACATCTTTGATTTGGTGAAATGCAGTCTTTATTTGTATTTTCCCACGAAAATGTTTACACCCTTCCCATGGTTTTAAATGCCAGGTTATATATAATAATTTTCTGATGTGGCCTTGCCATCTTACAAGCTCAAGCCTTGTACGTTAAAGTTTTTTCTTACCATCACAGGAATCAGATTGAGCAGGTCTGCTTCTACAAGTCTCTATCTCAATCTATGACTCTTCATGCACCTTTATCCAGCTACAGTGTGAGATGTTGGGCTGCCTGGGTAGCATTCTATTTCTGTCTGATTGTACAATGTCACAGGTGCTGACAATGAAATGTGTCTCCTTTATGCTTCACCTATAAAATGGGAGCATAATAACACCCTTCTCTGAGGATTGTTGGGATGATTAAGACATTGAGAAGCAGTAGCTGTCACTAATCTTCATTACACTTCTTGTGGCCCTTCCTTACTTTGTTCATGTAATTCATCATCCGATTCCACAATAGGTATGCCCTTCACACTGTCCCGTGCCTGCCACCTTTCCTCTCCTCGCTGCCTCTCCAGATGAAGCGCTCATTTGTCATACCTAAAGTAACTAATCTGTTCCTCGTCATTTTTTTTCCTCCAGTCCTTTAAGGTCAGAACCATCTTTTAAATCAGAGCATGTCACTTCTTAAAAGTCATCCTGTGCATTTGGTATAGCATCCCTGGGTATTGTTCTCTACTTTCTGTCTGGCCTCTCATCTGCCTTTCCAAGCTCCTCTTCTATCATTCTGTCTTCCAGTATCACTTATTACCCCCAAACTCACTTCCAATCCTCCCTTGCAGTTCACCTTAAATGTCACTTCCTCAGAGACCTTCCTTTATCTTCCAAACTGCATTTTCTCCAGTTACAGTCCTTGTTCCCCCCTTCCTTTTTCTTTTTTCTTCTTCGCAGTGCAGGTGATCAAACACATGTTAGGCAAGTATTATATCCATAAGCTAAATTCCCCAGCCCAGATATAGTCTTTTCTGTTGCATTTATACTTTTCTTATCTGGGGATGTTTAGTTCCTTTCCATCTAAGGCTGAAGGAAATGAAAATGACCATCACAAAGAAGTAGGTAGAGCTAGGTATGTTAAAACTGGAAATTTGAGCTGAATGATCTTCTTTCTGTTGCCTTGAGAACAGGAAAAATATGAATCGATAATTTAGGCTTCAAACTGTGGCTTGTGTTCTCTTTTCTACTTTCCATCAAGTAGTTACATACATCACTATCTTTCTGAGCCTTCACTCCCCTTCATTAGATTGCAACCTATTGGAAGGAGGAACTGGAGTTTTGGTACTAGAGATTAAACCCAGGTCCTCACTCATCAACTGCTCCTCCAAGCAAGACCTATTTTTAAATATTATTATTATTAAACATATTGTCCACCTAGCATGTATGTAAATGAACTTATATAGAGTGAATACTAGTTAAACATTTTTGTCTTAGGAATCTCAAAAATACTTTAATCTGCTTAATCCTTTGCAAGGATTTGAGACATCTCATAAAGGAATTTACTATCAACTTCTATACTCTTCTGCCAATCAGTGGCAAAGTACATTTTGTTTTCCTATTTTGAAAACAGAACTGTATAAAATAATGTTAAAGTGGAAAAAAATGCTAAAGTGAGTTGTTTATGTTTTATTGGACTCTTATGCCTGTTTCATTGGAAGGGAAAGAAGGAATTAACCTTAAGTATTTTTTGCTCTCCCTCAGGAATTAAGTGATCTACAACGCGATCCACCTGCTCACTGTTCAGCTGGACCCGTGGGAGATGACTGTAAGCTTTGCTCTGATGTGAGGATTATGCTATCATTAAAAATACAGGTTATAACATTTGTAAATGACTCCAAAACTCTTTTGTTTGTTACAGTGTTCCACTGGCAAGCAACTATTATGGGGCCTGTAAGTATGATTCATATATATGAAATTGACCCCTGTAGCCATTCTTCATTCTTTGCCTTTTCACCTTTGTGACTAGGGTTAAATATTCTTACATCCTGACTTACCCAGGAAGCAAAATATGATTAGGGGTTTATGATGATTTTTCTCAGCATTGGTGTTAAGTATTTATAGGGGTAGGGGTCCCTGTGGTGTTTTCCTTTTCCAGATCTTTCATCGTTGATCATCCACAATGTGCAACCAGATTAGGTCTGCTTTATTTATTTTTTTTAGACACAGAGTCAGTGTTCATAACTAAAGATAGTCATTCTCACATCTGGAGTTTTCATAAGTTAGAAATAAGTAATCCAGCCGGGCGCTGGTGGCTCACGCCTGTAATCCTAGCTACTCAGGAGGCTGAGATCTGAGGATCGCTGTTCAAAGCCAGCCCGGGCAGGAAAGACCGTGAGACTCCTATCTCCAATAAACCACCAGAAAACCAGAAGTGGCCCTGTAGCTCAAGTGGTAGAGCGCTTGCCTTGAGCTGAAGAGCTGAGGGACAGCACCCAGGCCCAGAGTTCAAGCCCCACAACCGACAAAAAAAAAAGTAATCCAAAAGTGTAATTCCTATAGAAAACAAGCACCAAGTCCAGAAGTTTCTCATTCTTTTCTACAAAAGAGTACTGATAAATAGTGTAATGGGTCTGTTTTTGTCACCTTTTGAATTTGTTCCTTTTAATTTTGTTCCATTGCTTTAGACTCCAAAATACCTATTGTTCTTAGACTTCGTGATACTATCACCTCCATTAACGCTATTTCTTTTTATATCTAAGGGTCAGTTCTGACTTGAAATAGGCTCTCTTTTCAATAAGCTGCAGTCTGATTGCATTAGAATGTGCACTCTGCTCAAATCTGCTTTCTAGGTGAGGGCTAGTTGAGCATATGTTAGTTACATGTTTTCATGTACATCATCCTCTTTCCCATCCCTTGGAGGAGTTTTATGTAATCAGTTATGGAGTTTTAGTTATATAACTTTGTGTTAACTTAAAACAAAAAGGATCCTGGGGAAATTTTATTAAATTGTATACTAAAGGATGAACATGCAACCTGTTTATATAACCATTTTAATAAGAATCTACTATTTCTGTTTGTTTTTCATTATTAAGAACTCTCAAATGTTTTCATTTAAAGGCCTCCCTTACTATTTGAATGGTGTAGCCCTCCACAAATATTCCTTAGCAAATGATTACAATTGTTATTTATATTCCCCACCTTTTTAGTAATATAAACATGCATTCCATAATAGTCTGTAGTGTCATTTGAATATCTAAGTAAGTGATACTCATTATTATAATTTGCTTCATTTATTTTAGGACCCCTTATAAATTGTTGGTGACCTGGAATTAAACAATAAATATAGTAAGAATAATCATATGGTGTAGTCCTGTAATAATATGTGAAGACACGTAAGGAAGTAATAAGTCTTGCATTTATTTCCAAAATATTGATATAACATGATGTATTTAATTAATATGAAGAAAGCAAAATAGAATTTTAGGTATATTTAGCTACCATTTTTTTTTGGTATCTTTTATGCTTGTTTTGGTCTAAATATTTTCTAATGGCCACTTTTAAATGAGACAAAATTTAAATTTCTCTTGTAGATTCAAAATCTGATCAACTCTGACGATTGCGAGTATTTAGTTTTGTGTTAGACATTTTTGCATTTTCTGCATGATTTTGTAGATGATTACTAAATGAAGATTTGAGAGATAAATTGTGCAGTGATGTCATCCATTTCTTAAGCAACCTGGGTTTCTCCGGTCACCCTTAAGAGAACATGAGAACTTAAGTTTTATAAGTAAAAAATATTAATTCCAACCCATTTTCTTTTATAATTGTTTTTTTCTACAGAAAGCTAACTTTTCTTCCAGTAGCCTTCATGTGTAGACTAATCTTTCATAGTTATTATAGTCAGGAAAAGTTTTGTTAGGGTAAGTCACACTACTGAATGTGTCTCATGTTGTGTGGTTTTAAAACTTGCTATGTGGACATGATTGCTGGACATGCTCTTTTCTGCGAAGGGATGGTGTTCTCAAGGTAATAAATGAGTTGAACTTACGATGTGGTGATTGTACATGTTGCAAAAGGATAATATTTGATGTAGGCATTTCAAGTATGATGACTATTCATGCTGATAACATTGGGGAAAATCATTTTAAGTAATAAAGAAATGCAGTATAATGAAACATTGATGCATACTGTTTTGTAATTTCAGCCTGATAGCGCATATCAAGGTGGAGTCTTCTTTCTCACTGTACATTTTCCGACAGACTATCCTTTTAAACCACCAAAGGTATTTTCATTCCTGTGATTAATGTGACTCATGTCAGAGATTTTACTCTTTTTCCAAAGATGGTTTCATGATGTTGGAGACTAAGGGTAGGTTAGCATGCTCAAACCTTTGTGAAAGAACCAAATCTAAATGCTGCATTATCTCTGTATTAAAAAAAAGGTAGTCACTGTTAAACTACAAATTACATTGTGTGTTTCTTTTCCTCCTTATTAGCTGTGTGTTTGTGGGAAAGTTTCTATGGTGAAGAATCAGACTTTTCTATTCACGATGTCATCTTTCCAAAACTGACCTCTTTTTTCTTTCTCTTTTTCAAATATTCAGTGAATATTTTATGACTACTGCCATGTTCTTCTCAATGGGGAAAAAAAAGTAAATATGGCACAGCCCCTTCTTGTAGTAGCAAGAGGGAGAGAAAAGTTTTTATTAGATCTAACTTAGACAAGGTCAAGTGAGAAAACACATGATTGGGGGGTATGTGAATGGATCTCAGAGAAAATAGTTATTTTAGACTTTTTAAAAACAGCTGCCTAGAGTCAAATGTATGATATGCATATAGCAACTCTTGAGAGGAGGATTTGGGTTCTCAATACTTTTCTTAGGACAAATAACAAGCTGAAGCTTCTCAGCTTTGCCCTGGAGCAGAGTTAGTAACCCTGTTGATAGAGTTAAGTGGTACTTCCAGGCACTGTTGATAATCACTTTGGGAAAAGGATTACTTGTGAGGTAAGATGAAACCCGAAACCGGGTTAATTACTTTAGGTGCTACCTAACCAACCAGTCATACCAGCTCCCACAGACTTATTACAATCTTCAAAATACTTCTCAAATCCTTGGGGAGAAAAATAAGGAAACTGAGTTACTGGCTTTTCCGATTCTTAGTTCCTAGAACTACATGAAGCCTAAAGTAGATGCTCATCTAACTGGAATGCAATGTGTTTCTCCTCTAAGACCATGTCACATTGCAGGTATTTGGGGACCCAGAGCATGTTGATTCTGTTTTGCTCATGCTGTTTGTTGTTGTTTTTGTTTTGTGTTTAGATTGCTTTCACAACAAAAATTTACCATCCAAATATAAACAGTAATGGAAGCATTTGTCTTGACATCCTGAGGTCTCAGTGGTCACCAGCCTTGACTGTATCAAAAGGTAATTAATTTCATTATATCAGATTTAAGGCAAATGATGACAGTGAAACAGGCAAACTATAATGCAAGTATCTAGGCACTAGAGGTAAGATAAAATTGATTGTGCTTTCTCCTATTGTATTTTTGCTTTGCTGTTACATCTCCCCTATGATGCTGATTTATGACTGCTAAGCATTGAGGTGTGTGAAGTATGGGTGGACAAATTGAAATAGTGAAATAAGAAGAGACTCAAAATATTAGAGCAAGGACAGTGAGGATATGTCTATGGACATTTATCCTTTTAGCTTGAATTTTGTCCTCCTTTTTTTCTTTAGCAGACTTATTACCAAGACTTAGTAATAAAAAGATTTGGGAGCCATTTGTCCTGTTGATGAAACAGAACAGTTGACAGTAACAAGTGAATCTTTAAAGCAGTGTAGCTTCGTCCAAAAAGAAGTAGCAAGCTTAGTAGAACTAATAGTAATCGTATAAATACTTTTTAAAGTTCAGAATTACTCCACACATTAGAGTAATGTAGTATAGACAGCATCTTAGTGTGAACTTTGAACAATGGTCAGAATCATTAAGATGATATGTGATCCTTGCTGATTCTCCACTTTTACAGGTATATAGCATCTTTTTTTGCTAAACTGTCAGCTATAGGAATGGGTCATCTAAAGCCAATTTTGTCTTCTTAGCCAATTGACTGTACAAACACTCTTTGTACAAGCACTCTCCACTACGTTTTCCTCTTCTTGTAGGGTGGTTTGAATTTGGCTTCACACTTGCTAGGCCAGGAGATCTAATGCTGGAGCCTCTTGTCTAGCACACACATTCGTTTGTTTGTTTGTTTATAGTATTGCTGGGTTTTAAATTCAGGGCCGTGTACTGGCTAGATAAGCCTCCAGCCCTGACACTTTTATTGAAGGTATTTATGGGTAAATCTCTGATCATTTCTTAATTTTTAAAATAAGTACTACCCTGAATACACAACTTGTTTTTGACAGGGATAAATTTGATAGGAAGCAAGATCCAAGACCAGCTATAACTGTTCCAAATATTAGGTAAACAAAAGGCCTTCACATCCATTATTCATAACTGGTAGTTTTCAAGTGCAGTGCTTATCTAAAAATGTTCATATGGGTTCTAATGTCCTTTTTTAAAAGATGAACCTCTCATGCATGGAATCAAGAAAAGCAATCTTTGTATGTCAAATGTTATTCAAATCACTATGTTCTTTCCTGGAATAGTGTTACAAAATGAGTGTCATTTGGCATAAGCAGCTAAGTCCTTATCGTTTAAAAGCAATGGCAGATGGCCAGATGCTAAGTACTTCTGATATTTGTAGCTTTTTATAAAATATAATTAGTATTGTTGGCTTCTAGAAGCTGTCCTTTGAGAATTCAGATAGACTGTTTCTTATAGGTAAAATAGGGTTATAATGGTTTTGCTGTGGAGAGTCACTATGCACCTGAACCCTTGGATAAAGGACGAGTGTTATTTTTTTTTCTTGTCTGAAAGTATTTCATTTGCAGGTATGATAATGACAACAGGGAAAATGGCTTCTGGAAGCAGGAGTAGGGAGAGGAGGAACTTTGCTCATGAATTTTGTGAGGTTGCTCTGTACTTTACTTAGCTATCTGTTCACTTTTTCCTTTTCTATATTTTAAATATAGTAAAACAAGACATTTAAATAAAACCAGAACAGCTTTATATCATGAGTTTAATCTGGAAGCATTCTGAAAATATAAGCAAGCCCAGAGAATCTATTCTTTTTGCTTACAAAAGCTTGACGTTTTATTGGACAGGCAGAAGATAAATGTTATATTATCTTTTTTTCTTAGTACTTAATGTCTCCTTTTCTCTGTCATCTATTAGTCCACTCTGCTCTCCTCTTTAGACTGGAGAGCGTAGGAAAAGATAAAGGAATGTCATACCAGAGAGGAGGGTGGAAATGGGAGGTTGCTCTATAGCTTCCAAGTAGACCCTCAGAAGTGGTTGCGTGCATGTGAAATGGATGAGATTCCTGATTTCCTTCTATTTCAGATACTTTTGTGTGTGTGTGTGTGTGTGTGTGTGTGTGTGTGTGTGTTGTGTTTTGAGTCAAGGTATTACATAGCGTGTGCGTGTACACACACATACACACATGCATACACACATATTAAAAAATGAATGCAAGTTCCTAATGTCAAGCCCTAATATTGAAAAAAATAAGGATGTGGCCTCAAAAACAAGCTAAAGTTAACAGTTCATATTGTTTGTAAATTCATTTAAAACAGATAAGTTATAAGGACTAAAAAAAAAAACTTTCTTCATTGTAGACAGTCTCTATCATCAAACCATAGGAAATGATGCATGAGCACAATGTCCACCACATTTAGGCCATTCACTATGATTTGATTGTTTTGTAGAGTACTTTAATGATTTGATTGTTTTGTAGAGTGGTTGGTTGTTCATAGCTATTTGTTTTGTAGAGTACTTGATTTGAGTGGTTGTTTGTAGCTATTTGGAGTATCATATTTTTTTAAGCAAATAGACATTCAAATAAAATTTAAAATTTCAAAAAAGAATAATTTCATAGTATACATTTATATAGTTATTTTATAATTATAATAATAATATTTACTACCTGCCAAAGTATACAACATAATTTGATGCATGATTTGTATTTTCTTTACAGGGCTGAGGATTAAACTTAGGGCCTCGTGCATGCTAGACAAGTACTCTGCCTCTAAGCTTCATTCTCAAATCCTGATATATTCATTTTTTTCCTTTATTAGTTCAATCATTATATTTAGTAAAAATTATTTTATGTGTACAACTCTTATAAAGCAGAAAAGCCATTCTCTAATAAAATGTTTTCTTTTAAATCTAGTTTTATTATCCATATGTTCTCTTCTTTGTGATCCTAACCCAGATGACCCCTTAGTACCAGATATTGCACAGATCTATAAATCAGACAAAGAAAAGTAAGTGCTTATATTCAGTCCTGTTTGAATGCATATCTATATAGTGAAAACATGAGAATACCAGTATAATTTGAAGTATACTATCAGTATCTTACCAGTACATTTGATTATGTTTATATTAAATGTGTATCCCAATGATGTAAACTCTTATTGGTCTTTTTTATACATACAAAAGAAATATTCCTTCCTATTTACTGTTTAATAATGCATGTTCTTTGCACAATAACTATATAATTTCAGGCAGTAAATTATAAGTGAAAGAATAATCACTGGACAATACTGAATATTGTCTTCCCTGTCTTCTCCCAGGAAGAGAAGTTAGCTCTTTTCCACCCAGACTTTGTTTTCCAGCTGCCTTATCCTGCTAGTACTGTAGGTTCTTTTTTCTTCTTCTTTTTTGTCAATCATGGGGCTTGAACTTGGGGCCTGGGCACTGTCCTGAGCTTTTTCGCTCAAGGCTAGCCCTCTACCACTTTGAGTCACAGTGCCGCTTCCAGTTTTCTGGTTGTTATTTGGAAATAAGAGTCTGGCTTTGAACTGGGATCCTCAGATCTCAGCCTCCTGCACCTTGCATTTGGTGGATAATACTCATTTCAGAGTTTGCTTTATAGATTTCCTAGTTTTAAGAATATATATATATATATATATATTACATTTTCATAATGATTGCAGGGACAGCCATATGAGTTCATATGTCTGGTTAATGAGTTAATTATAAGATGGCAAAATAGATAAATTCTCTACTGATGCTTCTAAAGATTAAGTGTGTAAGTTTTTATCATGTCCCTTTTGTATGTCTACAGATACAACAGACACGCGAGAGAATGGACTCAGAAATATGCAATGTAAAATTTAAAAAAACTTTCACTTATACCAGAGTACTGTAAAATCTAGGTGTTTTTTTCAACATTAGCAGTAAATTGAGCACTGTTTACTGTTTCATTGTACCATGAAACCTTTTGATTTTTACCCATTTTAAATGTGTTTCTGAAGCAAGACAAAACAAACTTCCAAAAATACCCTTAAGACTGTGATGGGAGCATTTATCATTCTGTATGCATTGAGAAAGACATTTATTATGGTTTTTAAGATACTCGGACATCTGCATCTTCAGCTTTCAAGATCTACAATGCAGCTGAGAAGCAACCAAATTATTTTTTGCTGAAACTAGATGTTTTTACATGAGAAATACTGTATGTGTTGTCACTTTTATAAATCTGTATTCAGATTTCATTATTTGTTAGCTCACTTTATAAGTTGTATTTTTTTACTGTATAGACTAAATGTATTCTATTTACCTGTATGTCACCTCATGACTTTTTTCCTGTGAACAGTATTGAAAACTCGACAGCTCATAATGAAAAGAATGAACTGTGTTCCCTTCTTAGGATATTCCGTAGATTGATTGCAGATTTCTTAAACTCAAAATGATCTTTACACTGTAATTCTCAGTATTCTGATGATGGAAAAACATTTGTTTTGATTTTTTTGTTGTTGCTGTTATACTTGACTTAACATTATTGCAATGTGAATTAATTGCACTGCTAAGTAGGAAGATGTGTAACTTTTATTTGTTGCTCTTCACATTTGAATTTTTTTCTGTATAGGCAATATTATATTGACACCTTTTACAGATCTTACTGTAGCTTTTTCCATATAAATAAAATGCTTTTTCTACTATTTGTCTTGATTACTTAAAAAGCAAAAAAGCTATATGTTTATATAGAAAAACATATAAACATAAAAATGATATGTTTATGTAAGATTATTTCAAAATGGCAGAAATTAGGTCTTTTACACTTGGCATTTTTAATCAACCTTAATTATATATAATTAGTTTTGTCTTAGGTTAGCATCTCTTTGTTAAAATTTCTGTCTAAGATGTTTACCTTGGTCCCAGTTGAAATTAGAGTTTGTTTTAGCTCACATTTTATATGATAGATTTTTTTTGTAAAAGTACTAAAATGCATATAAGTTAGTGTCACTAAAGAAAAGTCTCTACTGATCTCAGAAATCACTAGATTGGTTTATTAACATTCTGTAGATGTAACTTACATTGTTTCTTTTTTATTATTAAGTTTTTTATTGTGAAAATACTGTACAGAGGGGTTACAATTACATGAGCAAGGTAAAACAAATTGTTTAAATAGAGATACAGGTGGCCCCATTGCAGCAAAGAGATGTACAAGACGTTATGTCAAAAAACGAACCTTACATTATTTCTTAACATCTCAAAATCTAGAATTTCTAAAATAGAATTTCAATGCCATCACAATTTGAAAAACACTCCTTTTTCACTGTAGAAATTGCCAAAAGATATTGTGAAGTTGATGCTTGCTTCTGTCTTTATTAGTTACCAACTAAGATTAATTGTAATAGCAAGTTATTCTAAATTTTAAGGGAATCAAACATTCTTTTAACTCACTGGTGGGGTTGGGGAGGAGCTTCCTCTCATCCATAGCAAATGTCACTATTTCTCTCAAGAAGAGTGTTGCTCTGCTCATGATTGCAATAGCTTTGTGTTTAAGAATCTGTAGGGGATGTAGTCATTAGCAAAACATTTAAGTCACTTGATTGTTTTATCATGATTCATTATTATTAAAGCACAAAATAAGCCAGATGCTGGTGGCTCATGCCTATATTAGCTGCTCAGGAGGCTGAGATGTGAGGATCTTGGTTCAAAGTTAGGCAGGGCAGAATAGTCCTCATGAGACACTAATCTCCAGTTAACCACTCAAAAATTGGAAGTGGCACTGTGGCTCAAGTGGTAGAGCACTGGCCTTCAATACAAAGAGGCTTGGGGACAGCTCCCAGGCCCTGAATTCAAGCCCCACATCACATCCAAAAAAGGCATAAAATAGGCTGTTGTTAGAAAAACAGGTCCTTATAAATGAATATAAAATAATTAAATGCTTTGTGAAATGGATGTTTAAGGAAATAACAGACTTTATAAATACACTAGATGATGTTTTACAATAATAATAAAAACATACTTTATTACCCATATTGTTATAAGCTGCATTTGAATTTGAATTTGAACACACCACCATTTGATTTGAAGGATTTTGTATATGCAGTAAAAGATGTTTTCCCCCTCGGCTATCACTTCTTTAAAAAAAAAAAAAACAACTTTCATTTGTGTGGCATTTATTTCTCTCCGTTAAAAGTTTGTGAAAGTTGCCTAACTAAACACCTTTGCCTACATCTGACAATTATACTTGTGGACTCAAGAACTGAGCACAAGTTCTCTTAATGAACCATCTTAACATTCAGTGGTGGTATAATGAACATCTATCACCAGGCTAGAATGTCACTTTTGGTTAATGCTGAGAGAACATCTATAATGTTTTAAAGCTGTGACTTCAAAGGTCCAGATCCTTTTCATAAGGTAAACATTAAGAACCTTGGACTGTCTGGGAGTTTAGGATCCTACTGCTCCAAGTCCTGGCTGCTTCAAGACAGAGTAGTTGAACTTCAGATTGGATTCTGGATGTTTATAAAGCCCACATATTATGAATCAATAATATTGTTTGTAAGAACAGCCTCACCACCACCTCCCGATGGGGAAAACTAAACATTTATTTTGGTTGTAAATCAACTCCATAATAACAAGATACTAGATCAATTCTAGCTATTCCAGGTAGGTGGGAAGCGGAAATAAGAAGATAATGGTTTGAGGCTTGAGTTTGAGGCTAGTTCAGGTCAATGCCAAAATCCAAAATCAAACTGGATAGGATGGTGATGCCTGTAATGGCCAGCTCCTTGGGAGGTAGAAGTAGAAGAAATGTGTGTTGAGGTCAAATGAGGCAGAGTCCAAACCCTAAACCAAAAGGACTTGGAGCCTGGCTTAAGTGGTAGAGCACTTGCTTAGTAAGCATGAGGACCTGAGTTCAATCTATAGGTGGAAAAACAGGATACTATGTCTCACCCAGTAACACAGAACAAGATTTAAAAGAAGTGTTGTTTTTTTTAAGTATTCTGACAGTTGCAGTTTACATATTAGGCTGCAAGTAGAGGTTCATCTACTTTCACTGTAAAAATTGCTGTGTACACATAAGTGGTTTTTTTTTCCGCATTCTGAATAATACCTTAATCTCTTAAATTTTGTAATTGATAAGCCCTTGCCCAAAAATGCTTTCAGTAGTAGTGATAATTGAATATTCTGTAAATAGTGGATGTTTTCACTTGTAGATATAATGCATAATGCAATGGTGTCTTCATGGTAGTCTAATAGGTGTTACATCTCTTAGATCTATATTTTGTTAAATGTCAATTTGTTTCCATTGTTATGTTTTAGAAGAAAATGGGTTTAAATGGTAAATGAACTGAACTACTAGGATGAAAAGGAACTGACCACAAAGTGTTAGCGGTAGGGACTAATTAAATTTGCATAATTAAATTTATTTATCTAAAACTCATTTTAGCATTCTTTTAGGTCCTGCTGTTAGAGAGGAGTTGTGCTTTCGGACACCATAAGGAATCTGCTTTTATTGCAATGACACATGTCTAAGGTCTGGATTACATTTCTCTATATAATTTACTTGTTAGGAAAAACTGTTCAAAGCTCTCAGAATGTTGTTCAAGTCAGTGGTAGAGCATATGTGAGGCCATGGGCTAAATAGTCCAGCATTCACCACCCCCAAATGCGAAGATCTCTTTAGATCACTGTGTATGAGCTCGTGTGTATTTATTTTACTATAAATGCTTAACATACATGTGGTGTTTAGCTAGTACCACAAGTGGTGTGTCACCCTCACACCTGAGGTTACCCCACAGCAAGGACAGATAGCTGTGTCTGGAAGAGGAAAAGACAGATTTCACTAGGTCTACAAATACCTGTGTGCAACCCCCCTGCACACTCCCCACAGGCCATGGAAGAGCCTGGCCCTCCAATCAGTCACGTGGATCAGGGGTTCCGCTTCAGGCAGCCAGTTTGAAACTCAAGACCAAGGTTTTATTGCGAGCTAATCTCGTATGCACTGTGTGTCCTTCAAAATTCTAGATCCCTAGAAGGAAAGCAGGTGTTCGCCATCAATCACATTGTTTATTTAAAAAGTCTAATTGGAGTTGGGCATTATTGGACTTAACTATACTTAACCACTTGACAATCTGGAGGTCAAGTATTCAAAAGGATTGAACACTTTGAAGTCACATAGTGTCCAGGAGTACTATCCTTTATTGATTGAAGTAGTCATGAGACCACTCATATTCAGAGGAAGGGGGCATAGACCACTACCCTTCTACTAGAAAGAATTTGGGCCCTCCCAAATGCACTTAGGTCTCCAGCTGTCTGTGTTACAATATAATTCTTTTGTGTTTATATAGAAATTTTGCACGTTTGTCATTAAATAATTCCTAGGTAGCCAATGTTTTTTAGCCTATTGTGAAAGTTTTCATCTCTTCCTATTCCTGTGTTCCAGACATAGAATCATCATGCAGAATAGCAACAGTGGTAACAAACCACCTTTCTTGATTCCCAAGGTACAGTTGTATTTCATTAAGTATGGTATTTTCTCCATATTAAGGATGTTCCTTTCTTTTGGGGGGCAGTTATTATCAAGATTCTTTTTGTAACTTTCACTTTTTTCTTCAGTGTAGTGTAACATACTACATTAACCAGTGTTCACACGAAAATGGGCAAAAACCCACTCTGAGATACTGTCTTCTTTGCAAATCACCGGATTTTGTTTGCTAGAATTTTGTTGGGGATATATCTATATCTATATCTATATATTATATACAATCATATATATGTATACAGTCATATATGATTATGAGAACATAATTCTCTTTTTCAAATATCTTTGCAAGTATGATATTTCAAATTTGGCCTTAAAAGAATTGGGAAGACTTCCATATAATCTGTGAAAACTTTGCAGAAGATTTAGCTGTTTCTTAAGTATTTTGGCAGTCTATGAAGTCCATGTACCTTTGTAACCAGCAAAGGGAATGAAAGCATTTACTTTGAGAGTCTTACTTAACTGAGCATGCATTTTGAATTGTCAGCTTAGAATCCCTCTTAGCTTCCATATGTTTAAATGGTCAGTAGAATTCCATGGGTTGCACATAGAAATGCCTCTAGACCTGCCTGTGGAGTGTGAGCTGTGGCACTATCTTGGTTCAGAATCTCAGCCCTTCTTTTCTGAGTTACAACGGTATCTTGTCTGATCTTTCCAACCTGCTTATCCCAATCACTTGTTCTGCCCCTACCAAAGAGATTTTCTAAAAATAACTTTAACTGTGCCCCTAACCTGCCTCAGAGATTGTTCTGCTGTGTGTTGTGGGGGGGGGGAAGGGGGGAATTGGGGTTGGGGGAGTCCTGAGGCTAGAACTCAGGGCTTGGGAGCTATCCCTGAGCTAATTTTGCTCAAAGCTAAGCACTCTACCACTTGAGCCAGAGCTCCACTTCTGGCTTTTTGTGGTTTTTGGAGATATAAGTCTCACAGGTTTTTCTGCCCAAGTTGGTTTTGAAGCACAATCCTCAGACTTCAGCCTACTGCATAGCTAGGATTGCAGGCATGAACCACCAGCACCTTGGCTGTTCCACCTTTGTTAACAAACTCCGTGGCCTATTACACAGTTACACATGATCCTTCACAAGTATGACCCCGTTTGTACCCTCATTTACACATATATTTTGTTTTTAAACACACCATGCCTCGTGCCTATTTTTGACTTGTATACTGCTTTTTTTCTGCAAAGCATCTCCACTTTTTCT